TTTAGCGATATGAACAGCTTAAAGGAAATTTCACTTACAAAAGTAAGACTACAGAATTTAAAGTAAGATGCTGGGCAGAAATAATAATAGAAGTTTAAACAAATTAAAGTATGCTTATTTTATTATTAAGATGTTTCGAGTTTCTTGTTTTAGTTCTATTAGAAAATGTTGCCAGCCTGATTAGAAAGGTTGTATCTCAGACATAAATGAAGCAGGGACACAGCCAGCTAATCTGTAAACATAATCCACTTTCTGGCACTTCGAAAGCAAACTAACTATTGTTACCGTAACCCTGATCCAAGGTGTCACATTACGTTAAGGCTTCTCCATGGTGTCACTTTTGAAAGCTTAATAACATTACAGAGCTGCCAATGATTAATTAATGCATCTGACACACATCCTGCTAATATCTGTTTGGTTATGTTTCCTGTTCTTTTTCTTAGGGATTCTGTTTTGGAAAATCTGGAGAAGTTCTCACCTTGAAGCTGAGGCTGGGGGCCTTCAAGGCCATGATGAGACAGGTGTGTGCACAAGCTGAACTGAGGCGATAATCCCTCATTGTGTCTGACAGCCTAAATAAGTGTGCAGCAGACTTAGCATAACTTAAGGACCAGAGTTGTTTACTGGAGTAACTTGCAGGATTCATTTGTCTCGCATTAACGGCTAGCTGGTTTTCTAAAACTAATAATGCTGGGTCTGCAGAGATTTACTACTAAACTCATTCAGAGCTCTGACTTATCCCGCTTTCCTACATGTCATTTCTGTCCTGTAAGTTTGGCTAAATCAGGTTAAACTTGTTGTATCTTTAGATGCAGGAATGATGGATCTACTCTTCTTGTTTTATTTAAACTAAATCATAATATTTTTTTTTTACTTTAAAACTAACGGCCATCAACATAGGAATCGGGAGATATTTTCTGTTTTTAGTGTTTCCTTTTTGTGTGTTTAGTTTAACCAAGATTATAAATACATCCCTGAAATATAGCAACGTTTGGATGAACCATGTATTTATGCTAGCTCTCTGTTAACTGTAAAAAGTTTTCAGGCATTTTATTGCAACAATGTTTTTTATTTCAGGGGGATAATACATTTTTTATTAAATACATATTTTAAATTAAAGATGATCAGAGAATTTAGTAGTCTCATCAAACAGGCCTATATCTCTTATCAACTACCTAAAATGGGAGAAAAGCCATTCAGGTAACACAGTTAACCATTTTATAAGTTAAGAAATCTCTATAAATAATTGGTTGCTATCTTCACCGCTTAGTATGCTTGATGCAGAGACTGAAGTGAGACGCTTAGGCACAGCATCTTCAGGTTTTATACTCGTGCGTTTTTCCCCCCCTTGTACCTAATGTTATGGCCGATTCTAGGTAGGCATGTATGACTCAGACGGCAAACAAACAACCCCACCCAAAATGTAGAAGTAGAAAACAAAGCTGTTTCCAAAATTTTAAAAGCCTTTCCATGAGACAGTGACAGTAATATCTTTCCAATAGTTTTTCACAGTGAATTGATCCCAGTGATCAATTTCTCATTTGAATTGAGAAAGCTTCCTGGAGGGGAAGCGAAACGTCTTCAAACCTTTGAAACCAAGTCCAGTGGATTGTTTTTTTAAACTTGTACGGAATAAGAATCAAAATGAAATCATTTATTTTTTCCTCTTGCAAATCACAAGTCAGTCAGTTAAGGGAAAATGAGCAGATTTCCATCTATAGCTCATTGGTTGGTGTTTCTAAACTTTTATTTGATGATAATTCTTACTACGGAGGCTTCTCTATTTCATGTGTTTGTCATTCCTCTTTGGAGCAACTACTAGAAGGAAACATTTGGCAATTCACAGGGGTTACGAGATATAATGGCTATAGATCAGGTATTAGCTTAAATGGTCTTTTTAATTCATGGGAATCCTTCCTGATGGCCTTCCCAGCTCTTGGTTGTT